TAAATATGACAGAACTTTTGTTTGGCAGAGATTGCCAATATTAAACCACACAACTGGTATCACAAGACATTGGCAGATGATGTCGCACCAACCCCGGGGCCAGAAGACAAGGATGAGTTGTTCTAGTGCGTCTCTAACTCTGAGCTCTGACCCAACTCTTCCCCAACGTGAAGCTGAGAATCTTAGCCTGTGACTCATTAAGGCAGAGTGTCCTGTTCAGGCATGGGTCAAATGTAGGAAAGGAGGGAATCACCATTCTCTTCCTTTTCTACTCCTCCCCTTCCCAACAGCTGCTGGGAACTGGGTGGGGGAAAATCCCACCACCTTAGGGTCTGCTGTTCCTCAGAATCCATGGTTTTCAATCCCACATGGGCTCTAAACATGCTCAGCAAAGGACACTCCTTCCATCACCACGCTCCTTTCTCAACCAGTTCCTGGCCCCATCTTTCAATTTCCATGATCTTCTCATGATTTTTCAAGTTTGAGCTGCACAGGCATTCTTTATTTCCTTTAGGCTTCTCAGCAACAGGTGCATTCAGAATGAAAATCACTCGAAAAGAGCTCAATGTTACAAATATCCACGTGTAATGGTTCCTATCATTTCTACTTGCATTTGTTCTGTTGCTGAAGACTCATTCTGAATGCTGGGGTCTCTTCAGCTCTAAGCCCTCACCTTCAGGACTCCGAAGCCCAGGGATGCATGGGGGAAATAACCCATAGGGAAGCAGGAGAAGTAAGACTCATTTCCACACCTCTTCTGTAAACCACCTGACTCAAAATAGGTCAACAAGATAGCCGTGTCTGAGAATATCTGAATTACCATGCAGGAGGTTAATCTTTCTTCCCAGCCCCAGCAGCAAGGCTCCCTGCCCTGCATTTTGCATTTGTTTCCAGACATGGCTGATGGCTACTCCTCTGAATTTTGTTAACATGTTAGGTCTGACATGCCTTTAAATGAAACAAAGCCAGCTTTTACTTTGTATCTCCCTTCCCTCTCAGCAAGGTTTTCCCTTTTCATTCAGAAGAGCCTCTTATATGAATGACACGGTCATGCACTTGCTGTCACCACTGATTCCCCACCCATCCGCTCCAAACCTGTTTGGCCTCCTGTGCTACCTGTGTCATGAACGTTGTCACCATCGACCCTGAAACCCACGTCAGAAGCTCATGGGTCATGCCAGCTACCACTGTCTTCCTTGGGCCTTTCATCGTATCAGTGACCAGCCCCCAGTGGCTCTTTGCTGCCACTGACTCCTCTCCCTGAGTGCGGACTCTGTTACTACTGCCCTCCTCAGCACTCTGGCTGACTCTCTGTGCCTCCAGCCTTGTATCTTCTGATATGTCTACATCACAAATGTGACCATGCTATTTCCTGCTTAAGTCCTCCCAGGAGCTCCCCACACTTGCAGGGTCGTGTTCAAAGTGCCCCACAGGTGATAGGCACTGTGTGATCCAGCTCTTGCTCATCACTCCATGGGCCGTCCACTGACTTGACTCTGGCCACATCAAGCCACCAGTATTCCCTAGATGGGCCCACCTCTCACTACATGACACGGGAAGGTAGATGGTCCAGCAGAAGGAACAAAAACCTCTTCACCTTGAAGACACAGTTCAAGCACCTCCTTCTCCAATTTCTTCCTCCTGAGTCTCCAAATGGAACAACTTGATCTTTGTGGCCCTATCCTTGCATACAGGCCTCTGGCTCAGTACGGGTAAACTGCTATTGGTCTTCTTAACTTGCAAGTTCTGCACAGAAATGCACAGGCCCTGAAGACAGCTGGCCCCATCAGCCTTGGGACAGAGAGGAAAGCTCTGAGAAGCAAGCTCTGACACCAGAAGGGAGTCTGTCCCCAGGAAATAACAAAAACAGACTTACATCAAGAGGATCACTGGATGGAACAAAACAAAGTGAAGAGAAAGTTTTAAAATTTTCTTAAGGAGTTAAAAAGGGAGATGAGAATAAAATTCATGGGGCTAGTATGAAGTCATGATTTTTAATTATTTGTATCATCTATCTCCATTTCCCTCAATATTTCCATACATCTTTATCTACAGTTATTTCCTTACTCTGTCTGCCAAGAAAAGCCTAGAAGCAATGACATTCCAGTAGCAATGGGCACTCAGCACCCAGATCTTGATTTCTTAAGATCATTTTCCATTCAAAGGAATCAAGATTCCCTGGGAAAAAAATGGCTGATTCCACAGCTGGGGCTGGGAAGATACAAGGTAAGTCTGGAACACCTTAAGCCAGAAAGTAAGAAAGTGTTAAAAAAAAAAAAAAAAAACAAAACGAAAGGGACATATTAAAAAGACACAGGAGACTGCTAGAAATCTGGGATGGTTTGAGAATCAAAGCAATACCTAGCAACTTTGAGTAAATAGGAATCCATTCATCCATACCTATAAACAAACAGATTAATAAGTAAGGAGGAAGATGCTTTCCTTTAGAAGTAGACTGTCAAACAAGTGTAGAAGAAACTATAGAGTTAGAAAATCACACTGAATGAAGAACAAAGTATGTACATGACATCAAAGTGTCTCCCCACAAGTAACTTGTTACTTACAAAGGGGAGAAGTCAACTTAGAAAGGGGAAGTCTAGCAGACATTAACTTAACCAAATGATCACAGAGCTAACGTCAGTATTAATGGGATCAACTAACATCACCTGCCAACTTAAGACACACACAGAGGGCACATCATTTTTGTGATGCTCCCACCCAATATGCCAAACCCTAATCTAGTCCATGAGACCAATCCAATTCGAGGAACATTCTACAAAATATCTGGCTGTATTCTTCAAAAAGGCCACGGTAATAAAAGGAAAGGGAAGACATCTGATTTGAGAGACACGTGTAAGCATGTATCACGACTAAATGTAACACATGATTCTGCATCAGGAAAAAGGGAATCACTATAAAGGACAGTGCTAGGACACCTGACACAATTTAAACAGTGAGCATGGGCTAGATAGCAGTATTCTATCAGTGTTGGTATTATATCAGTGTTATACTTCCTGCTTTTGACAAGTGGTTATGGTTATAAATTACGAGAGGAAGTCCTTGTTCTTAAGGAAAGGCTTACTGAAGTTTTGGGGTAGAGGGGTAACAATATCTACAACTGATTCCCAAATGATTCAGAAAATATAACATGTAAATACAGATAAAGCAAATCATTAAGTCATAAAGCAGATGGGGTAAAATATAAGCACTTGGTAAGTGGGAGTTCTTCATGATATTCCTGTAACTTTTCTGTAAGTTTAAAATCATATTAAAATTCTAAAAGCCCAAACAAACCAGCAATCCAACAATAAGGGATGAGTCAGAATTATGGTACAGTCACTCTATGGAAGTCTTAAAATTACAGAGCATTACAAATAAAAGTCTGTGAAAACACATAACAAAATAGAAAAAATGCTTATAGCTTATACATGTTGAATGATGAAAGCTGGATACAAAGTATTTTATGTGTCCATTATTATAGCTAAGAGCAAGATATAAGTATATCAGAGGAAGCATATAAGTAAGATTGAAAGGGTAATATCAAAGGTGGTAATAAAGATATTAGGGGGAAAAAAAAAGATATTAGGGGAAAGGGAGAGATTGAGTGACTTTTTCTTTAAAAAAAAAAAAAAAAGTCAGCATATTGGAAAAAATACTTGCCAGCATATGCACTCCCCCGTCAGGCAGGTAGGCTGGAGAATACTGGAGATCAGTGCTATTGACTGCCTTCTCTTGCCTCAGGCTGCCCCTCCCCAAACCTTGATACCTATCCCTCACCCCAAGAACAGATACTGTGGGTCTGGAGTGCCCTCAGCAAGGGCATCTGAGGGTGGTGGGGCTAGGAGCATGAGGCTCCCGTGCAGGCAGCCTGCCACCCCTGCCCCACAGTCTGCTCTGAGCAGCGAGCCTAGCAGCTGCGGACACAGCTGAGGGGAAGCCCAGCAAAGGCACATCTGAGACTGGGCATCCCTGGCCAGGCCAGCACAGAGACCCCTTTGAATGCCCTTGTTGTGCTGACAACACCAGGGCCTCTTGCTGACATGGTTCCTCCTGGGCATAGACCATAAAGCTTCTTGGAACTCAGAAGGTTTAGGAACTCTGGGATGACTTTATCTCAAGGCAGAGTGCCTGATTCTGTTGTCAGTGGGTTGAAGTGTTAAGTCCTTATCAGTCCTTTACATTTTTAACATAAACTAGTCTACTGAGCACCTGCTTTGATGGGTGGCAAAAAGAAGTTTGGAACACACGGCTTTGCTATCAGAAGGCAAACTCTCAGACAGCCCTGGGCAGCTGAGAGAAATAGGGCAGGAATAAAAGTGAAAGTTTGCCTCCTTTGCGGGAGAATTGGTTTTGTTCCTCTTATTGTAAGAGACATGTTTAAAACTCCTTCCCTAAAGAAGCAGGAATAAGAGTTAAGAGTAAGAGACCCTCAGAACAGGCAGCTGGGGTAGAGAGAGCAAAGGAAACCCCAGTCCTCTGGGGCAGCAGAAGCCAAGGCCCACAGCTCCTGTGGAGAGGAACTCATTACATGACTCTACCGGGCACTTCTTGTTTAGAGCTGCTTCCCAACTGCTCCCCAGCCTAGAGCAAAAAGCACCACCATTCTCAGTCATGTGACCCGATTTTAAAGTATTTTATTACATAATCTTTTCATGGCACCATCAGGAGTAACAGAAAACGTTATCCCCAGTTCCTAACCACATCCTGAAAAATATACATTTGTATTTATATATTTATATCAATACTCCACCCCATCCCCTAATTCCACCACCTAGTATAGGACTTTTGCTTAAAGCAAGAAACTATTCTTTCAGGTAAGAAAATATATATGGAAGCTAAGTGAAGTAATGGTTAGAGTGACTGGGGACAGCTCGGTTGTGGGGGCAGGAGGGAAGGGGTAAAGTCCAGGCTAGGCAGGATGCATCACTGGGTCCGGCAGAGGTGGAGAACAGTGTATAAAAAGGCAGCGTCAGGCAGGTGGCTCTGGTGTCCTTGGTCCATTAGGAGATGGCCTTTGCCTCAGGAAGGAAGGCTTCCCAGTACTTAGCCAGCTGCAAAGAAGTGCACTCAGTAAGCAAGTGTTCCCATAGAGTGGCAGAGCCTGAGCCTGGAAGGGGAGCAAGCCAGGGCACTCTCCCAAGTGCCCTCGGCCAGCACAGGGAGGCCATTTCTTCAGCTTGGCCTAGGCTGAGGCCAAGCTGAGGAAATGGGTATGCTGAGAGTGGACCCTGGGACAGACTGGCTGGCCAGCCACACTGCCCTTACCTCTCTAGACTGAAGGAAGCATCAAGTGCAAGGTCTGAAGACAGTCCTGGTTCTGCCCCAGAGGAAGTACCCCCGTGGGGGCCACAGCTTGGCTCAGGTCAGTCAGCTCCTCACAACAGGGTCACTGTTCCACATACCGATTGGGGCCTCAGCCTCAAGGGGGCTAGGTGGTATCAGGGGGTTACAGGGAAAGGAGAGTTGGGGTTTGTCCTTAAAAACTAACTCACTGTAGGATTAGGGCTATCCTGCTTATTAGCAAAAGACCCTACTGGATGCTCCACGTTAGAGAAACAGGACTTATGTTCAATTATTGATTAAGCAGGGCCCGGACCCCTGATGTATGCCGGACCACCCCCGTCACCAAAGTATCAAGTATGCAGCTGGCCCAAGCAAGCAGGAGAGGAAGAAAGCCGGAGAGGAAGAAAGCCATGCACAAGTTACATACCTGCTGCTGTGAACACAGGAGTGTCTCGAGGTACTTGATCACGTGGTTTCTGAAGTCCTTGGATTTCTCTTTCTAAAGGAGACAGGATTCTACACTGACCATCCAGACAGTTGCTCCTTCCCCTCTTGACAGGATGGTGATGTTTTTGCTGACCAAGGCTGAACACAGCCTCAGAAAGGAGAGGCAGCAGCTGGATTAGCTACAATTTCCAGCCTAATAACCTCTTGCAAGGCTTTCTTGAATGGTGGCAGGGTGGGAAAGCGAGGAGAAAGGACAGGGGAGCAGAGGGGTTACGACAGGGCAAGCTTTGTGTCTAACTGCTCTGGTCCAGGAACCAATGGAGGACAGCCACTTTGCCTCAGGAACAAACATACAAATGTGAGCACGCGTGCGCGCACGCGCACACACACACCAGCCATGCTTGGTCACAATAACTGCCAAGCCGCTCGCACTGCCGTCTGTCTCCCTACTCAGTAGAGATGTGGACAAAACCAGTACCACCACTAATAAACCAGGCACTGCACACTGGTGAGAACGAGGATCTTCTATCTTACCTCAAACCGTATCACTTCTTTTCGGACCACAGTTGAAATCCTTTCAAAGTCCCTTTCATACTGAGTCACCCGAGACTCCCACTGGGAAGAAAGAGGAAAGAAAGGATCCCTTATCATATTATGGAGTTACTCTATTAAGTCTTTACCTCTGAACAGCAACTGTGTATCTGAGACCTCAATTGGTCATTTGTTTGTCCCTCTGGGTAAGATTAGATACGGAGATTCCGTAGGTAATCTAGTCTCCAGTAGAGGTCACCTCTGGGAATTGGCTGGGAAAGAGGTGTCATGTGTCTCAGGCCAAGTCGGGTTCCTAAGAAATCTAGTTCCCCCGAGGCTCCAGTTCAGGTACTTGCCAGCAAGGCTGGGAGGCCCAGAGAACTGAATTTAGTTCTCACCAGGAGGGCACATGTGAATCACCTTGGAGCTTTTCAAAGACCCAGGCAGGACCGCTCCTGCAGAGAGTGTAATTTGGCAAGTGTGGGTGGAACAGGAAAGGAGGAGGAGGTCTCAGGGCAGACCCTGGGCCATCCGCAGAGGCTTTGCCAGCCACTGTCCTTTAGACTCCATTAGTTCTCTTGCCTGCTGAGGGGTTCTAAGCAGCTCAGTGAGGCGGAACCCTGACTCACTCAGGAGCCAGAACGTCCCTGCAGGTCTGCCTCGGGGGGCTCACCTCTACAATCTCATCCTTGGCCTGCTGCAGCTTGTCGGGCTTGTTGGCCCACAGCAGCCGAGCCTCGGCCTCCCGCTTCTTCTGCAGTGTGGCCTGAGCATCCTGCCAGCGCTGCCACGTCTTCATGCGCTGGTCAAAGGCGGCCTGTGGGGGTGAAGGTTGGGGAAAAGCACAACCAGCCCTTCAGGCACTCTGCTGGCTCTGCTTTGTGGGGAGGGGGCTCTCCTAGTGGCTGTGCTGGGGAAGGGCCGAGCAAGGGCAGGTTCCACAATAATGTGTTAATGCCCAGCTGGAAGTTTAACGTCCAAAGCACAAGCTTGGGTAAGACTTCTCTCCAAGGCTCCAGTAGACCAGCGTCATGCTGTGTCATGCTGCTCCCAAGGCTGGATGGCCCAGGGCAAGCAGGTGGTCCGATGCCCATGCCCAATCTATGGCTTTCAAACGGACTCCCTGAGATGAGTTCATGAGTCTACACACTTTCCTTAAATGCCTGCCCTGTGCCAAGGGCTAAGATATAGTGGGGAACGAAACACATAGGCCTCCTTTCATGGAGCTTGAAGTCTAACAAGAAAGGCTGACATTGTATTATTAACTGCCAATAAGTAATTATAAGAATGCAGAGTACAGAAAAAACAAGCAGAGTACTACAAAAAAAAAAAAAAAAACACTTGGGGACCTAGATGAGCCTGGGAGACATATCAGAGAAGACCAACCTAAGGAAGCAAACTCTATACTGACACCCAAACAATATACAGGGTGAGTTTGACAGATCTGCCCACCATCTTCAGCTTAACAGATCTTTATACTAAGTAAACTTCATCTCATCCACACATTCAACTGCTCGCAGCTATTAAGGCCTTCAAGAAGCTCTCCAAAGTCCATTTGCTGGTCTTCCCTGTTTTCAGTTCCGTGGTCACAATCAGCATGTCCAGAGGATGCCTCCTGGACTAAGCAAACCATCCTGACCCCCACTGGCTCTGTAGGCTTCAAGAGGCTGGGATGGAAGACCTCTGCCTGGGGCAACCTCCCAACACTGCTCCTTCTGCTCCCCTCCCCTATGAGGGTTCCCTGGATGTTTTCCAGGCCTCCTTAGTTCAGGCCTTTGCCAAGACTTGGACCTTAGGGAGTGAAATGACACCAAATTTATCTTCCCCTGCACTCTCACTGCTGCTTATCTGCAGTTTCTATATAGCTGAATAAAGGATCAGGTAAAGTGTGACCTCACATCCAACCTAACACCCCAGGCTAACTGTGGTACAGCTGCAGGTTTCAGCGGAGAAGTAACATTTGTTCATCTCTCCAGTCCCACTGCCAGCACATGACCATGAGAAGGGCAGGTGAGGGATCTCTGAGAAAAGACCAGCTTTGCAGTTCTGAGCACCAAAGCGAGCTGCCTCAGAGAGGCCTCCCTCACTCCTCTCCATACAGGGTCCCTGGCCTGAGGGTTGTATCCAAATGCTGAGCTCTCCAGAAGCCCCAGACAACATTGGTCTCTGAAAGCATTCCCAGAGAGAACTCTTCCCTGGGGTGGCTTTCCAGTCTAAGTAGTCTGACCTGTTCTGAGCATTCCAGAAGAGGTTATTTTTCCAGCCTCTTACCATTCTGGAGTTAGCAGCAAATCAAACAGCAAAGGGAGAGGACAGTGAGCAATCTTACAGACTATATTAAGCAACACTATCACGGAGAAAATGAGTCCTGGGGGCAGCGTGGCTCCTGACAATGCAGAGCTCTCAGACTGGGGAGAGCTCGGGGGGAGGGGGGGAGAGAGAGAGAGAGAGAGAGAGTGAGTGTGTGTGTCTCTGTTCCAACTCAGAGGCTCAGACGTTCTGGTCCCAACCTGGATCAGGCAGATTCAGGCCCTATTAGGGCAGGTGCCGGCTCCCTCTTGGCTCCTTCCTCTGTCTCAGAAAGGCCATGCGGAGCTAATCTCACTGCCTAGTGAAGCTTCCTCAGCCACTCTGAAAGGTCAGGGAAGCCAGAGTGCCCTGGTCACCAAAAGAGAAGGTGAGGTGCTTGACCTGAGCGGCAGGCTGCAGTCTTGTCACCGGTGTGGTCAGCACAGCACAGCTCTGGTGACAAGCTCCCTCAGCCCCCTAGCCACACTCCTCCATTAGCACCACACTGGTTGTGTGTAGTTACCTGGTGGCCCACATTGGAGGGAAAGTGGAAGCCAGCAGGAGCTTTTACTGGGGCCAAGCTGCCGCTTACTGTTAAGAAGGCAAAGACCAGAGGGTTGAGGGAGTCACAGCTCCAAGGGGCCCAGACCTAGGCCTGGAACAGCCTTGCTGGAAGAAAGGAATATAGGATGCTGTCCAGCTTCAACAATAAGGAAGGCCCTACTTGGAAATTCAAGAGTGGTCTTTTCTTCAAGCTGATTTAAAATACTGGTTATGAAAAGTCTACAAGCAATAAATGCTGGAGAGGGTGTGGAGAAAAGGGAACCCTCTTACACTGTTGGTGGGAATGCAAATTAGTACAGCCACTATGGAAAACAGTGTGGAGATTTCTTAAAAAGCTGGAAATAGAACTGCCATATGACCCAGCAATCCCACTTCTGGGCATACACACCGAGGAAACCAGATCTGAAAGAGACACGTGTACCCCAATGTTCATCGCAGCACTGTTTATAATAGCCAGGACATGGAAGCAACCTAGATGCCCATCAGCAGACGAATGGATGAGGAAGCTGTGGTACATATACACCATGGAATATTACTCAGCCATTAAAAAGAATTCATTTGAATCAGTTCTAATGAGATGGATGAAACTGGAGCCCATTATACAGAGCGAAGTAAGCCAGAAAGATAAAGACCATTACAGTATACTAACACATATATATGGAATTTAGAAAGATGGTAAAGATAACCCTATGTGCAAAACAGAAAAAGAGACTCCTATGTATAGAACAGACTTGTGGACTCTGGGAGAAGGCGAGGGTGGGATGTTTCAAGAGAACAGCATTGAAACATGTATATTATCTAGGGTGAAACAGTTCACCAGCCCAGGTTGGGTGCATGAGACAAGTGCTCGGGCCTGGTGCACTGGGAAGACCCAGAGGGATTGGGTGGAGAGGGAGGTGGGAGGGGGGACCGGGATGGGGAATACATGTAAAAAAAAAAAAAAAAAAAGATACACTATGGTTGTGATAAAAAATAAATAAATAAATTAATTTAAAAAAAAATAAAATAAAATACTGGTTATGGGCTTCAAAATGACTCAGAGATAACTAAGAGTTTAATGGATGTTTCAGTTCACAAGATACTTTCTCTTTTGAGAGTAGAAAAACTGTACCTATTTCAAGCTATAATGGATGAAACCACCTTGGGAAGAAGAAGAGCAAAGGAAAAGACAAAGTAAATCCAGTGGAGGGAAAAGAGGAGGGGAACGAGATGCTTACACGGACTATGGCCAGGAGGCGAATATAGTCACTCAGGAGCTCCGCGAGGAGGAAGAAGTCATTGTTGGCCTGTTCCTGGTGGAGCTGCTCGATCTTTTCTTCCACCTCTGCCAGCTGGGAGAGCGCCCGTGACAGAGCTGTGTTGTCCTCAGAGCTCCCAAGCATGGCCAGACTCTTGGCAAACTGGGCCGTGTTCAGCGCCAGCTCTGGAAGGAGGAAGACAGCAGAGCCTCTGATCTCCCGGGGAAGAGGCACAAGTCGGCTGGCACTGCCCGGGGGCCTGAGCTATGCTGGCCCCTGCGTGTCTGGCAACCGTGGACTCTGCAATCTGGTCACTTACACCGGAGCCAAGTGAACTCAGAGTGTGAGGGTGACACAGGTCGGGCACACAAGCAGAGAGGTGCCTGTAGCCCTCAGTTTCCCTAGGTTAGGCTTACTTGGATGGAGCAGTGCTAATGCTCCTGGAGAACTAGGGGCCAGTTAATAGAAACAGGCACAGTTCTGATGTTCACATTAGAGCTCAGAGTAAGCAGCCTGCCTGCATGAGAGAGAGTGTATGTACACACTGCATAGTCTTGCATGCATCAGAGCAGAACAACTTTTCGATGAAGAGTCAGGTATTTTAACCTTTGCAGACCACATACAGCTTACTCTCCTTGCTCCACCCCCCAACCCTTCCACCCCGTCATCTCTTCAAAAATGTTAAAAACCACTTAGAGCCACAGCAATAGGTCCATCACTGATAGGTCTATGGCTAGATATGACCCAGGGGACTGGGTCATATTTTGCCAACCCTTACATTGGTCTCCATTCTAATAGTTTTCTGCCTGTTTAGATTTCTGATTATCAACATGTTAAAAGCATTCAAACTTGGCAAATTTCACTAGCTCTTAAGCAAATCTCACCAGAGAAAGGTGAAGAAGGGTTAGGAGATATACATGGTTTCCCGCATTTACATATTTCTCACTGGACCGTGTAGCTAAGGCATGTAACATCATTTTGGATATAAGCCACCAACTCAAATGCCACCAACTGAAGCCCACAGTCCCAGGTCAAGCTGTAACTGGGACGCCTTCTCTGCACTCCTCCCAGGTAGAGTACAATGCCTTCAGCGGCAGAGGCATGTTTCCTGTCAGGAGATGCAAGGCATTATCTCTTTGATCAGAACATCAAGGACCAAGTGGGTTGAGAATTTCAACTTGAATGGCTGAGAGGTTTGGGAACAACATGCCCTCCCATCTCTAGCTCACTGGAGACATCAGTTTCCCCCCAGCTCCAAGTGCACATCAGAAGCTTATTACCTTTCCTGTGGTTGACTAGAGTTTCTACAACGGCATGCAGTTTCCGTAAGCGCTGCTCCTCACACTCTACCTCCTGGAGCTTCTCCTCAAACCACTGAAACACACAGGCCCAAAGCTTTAAAGGAGGCTACTCATCATACAGGTGTAGAGCTGTCTTTTCCTTAGCAGTTTTTTCTTTTTTAAGAGACTGAATTATTGTAAAAATAAAGTCTCTAATCTCAGGACTCCTCAAGGCTTCTGACCTATAACCCTGAGGGGGTTGGGGAAGCTGAGAGGCCCAGTGCTACTCACAATGTCGGATTCATTCATCTTGATGGTCATTTTGCTGACCGCATCTGTCGCTTTGTTGAACATCTTGAGGAGACCGGCGCCACTCAATGTCTGGGTACCCACAGCACGCGGCAGCTACAAGACCAAGAAGGTGGGGTGGCAAGTTATCTGCTGCCCCTATTTCAGGTTCAGAAGAATTAGTATCCATCAGATGGCATGCTCCAAACTTGCCAAATAAATTATCTGAACTGTAGGCTGTTATTTTCAAGGGCAGTTAGACAAATCCTTAATAGCAATGTGGATAGACCAAAAAAAAAAAAAAAATCAAAGGACCACATTAAAGAGAATCAGCAAAATTGTCAGCTTTTGATACTGTGTGCAGAAAGACAGGCAGTGTGTGTTATGTGTCCAGGTGACCTCATATTGAGATTATCTGCCTACCCAGGCACGAACTGCTTAAATACCAAATGCTTTTCTTTAAGAGTCAAAAGTTCTTTTTGGATGCATACTCGCACACAGCTAGACTTAAATCTTGAGACACTTTGAAGCTGTAATTCCATTCGAATTTTCCTCAGGGAACAAAGGAGCATAATAGATT